CCTGGATTTAATTTTTTTTTTTTTTTTTTTTTTTTTTTTTTTTTTTTTTGGAGAGGTTTTTGCTATAGGGTGCGTGCGCTTGCCAGACAGAGAAAGACATAGAGACAGAAAGCGAGAAATCACCCCCCAGAGGGGATGGTCACGCCGCAATCCCTTCTCCTCCATTCTCCTCTTGGGATCTTGGGCACACACATACGCACACACACCCGGCGTGAGTTTTAAGCCACCGGGTCCAGGACACGAACCGCGGTCGACTACGTGGGAGTCCAGTGACACAGCCATTACGCTAACTGCTGGTTCCCAAAGGGGGTTAGTTCTTGATTGATCATTAGCCACAGATCAACCCTAGTTTGGAGTCAACCCTGTGTTGGAGGGATCTGTTCCAGGTTTGGGAGAGCAGTTCTAGAGTTAGCTCCAAGTTTGGAAGGTTGGCTTCTGTTTCTGGATTGGGAATAGGCTCTGGGTTGGAGGTCAGGATCAGTTCAGCTTTGAGTGTCCTTCTGTCCCCAGCTGTTCCGTTGGCCCCACTATGGAGCTCCTCTGGCTGGAGAGCGTCTGTCTGTGCAAGTAGTCAACTGCAGCCGTGTGTTCAGCCCAAGGTGAACAGGCCTGGGGTAGACTTGGACACAAGTGTGGCTGAGGCGGCTTGGTGCCATTCTGCTGAGTCACTCTGCTGCTCCCTGCCTCTCTCCCAGGCCTCTGGGTACCCTGGTGATCTCCCTGCAGCAGCTACAGATGGTTGGGCACTTGGTACTGCGGGAGGCCCTAGTCGACGAGAATCTGCGAGTGTCCCCGGTGAGCCCCCTGTCTGCCAACCTCAAGCCTGAGAGTCCCTTTAAATAGAGGGTTCCATTTCTCAGAGGGGGAAACTCAAGACCCAGGCAGGAGTGGTAATAGGCACCCTCAGTCAGGGATCTTTTCATTTAGCCCCTGCCTGAGCCCCACAAGACCAAGAACCAGGTTAAGCTCTGAGGCCCAGGGTTGTGGCTATGGGGTGATGAGTACTGTGCTGCTCCTTGACCTTATGGCTGGCTTCAGTCTTCTAAGAGACAAAGATGAACCTGCTTGGATTTTCATGGTGTTTCACAGAGGGTCATACAGCCTCATTGAGTGTACCTGCATTCAGATCTCAGATCTGCCATTTCCAACTGAGAACTTAGCTGAGTTATTCGGCATATCTGAATTGTTTCCTCATTTATGCAATGCAATGTCATACAAAATGCTGAGTTTTTCATTCAGTTGAAAGCCACGGGATATGCTGAGCAAGGGGATTCAGTGGTGAACAAACTGGAGGACTTGCCCTCTTGAGGCTCCCTAGTTACAAACAAATATCCCTGCAAATAAATATAAAATCACAACTTGTGGGTGTTACAAAGGTGCTGTTCGGGACCTGGGACAGTGTATAACAGGGATGTGTGACCTATTTGGGGATCAGGAGAGGTCCCCTGAGAAAGCAGTGCTTGAGCTTATAACTGAAACATGATAAGCAGTAAGTAAATGGAAGGGGAGAATATTCTAGGCAGAGAAACTGGCATATACATATACTTCCTCTGGGAGGGAACAGAGCTGGATGCAGAAGAGGAGCAGAAGCAGGAATAAGATGGA